TTATATTACAATTTTTCCATACGTAAGTGAAATTCAAAAAATAAAATTATTTAAATTATTGAACGTTTATACATATATACGTTTTTATTTTTGTACAGCTACAATATTTATTCTATTACATACGTACAGAAGAAAATCTATTACAAGATACGATAGAAATACAAATACAAACGAAATATCTCGATATTTCTAGTCATATCATCCATATTTTTTGCTGTAAGAAATCACTTTATAAACATTACTTCGTAAAATATAAATAACTTTCGTTGTCATCGTGATATTGTCTACTTAAATGTAACTACTTATATATCTATTATAAAAAAGTAATATCAAATAAAAATATTAAGAAGTATTCTACAACATTTTACAATATTTAGTATATTAATTAATTTTTATAATTACTTTCTCACTTTTTATTAAATAACATTTTCAAATTCTAGGTGTGAGTTTTATTGCAGTTGCAGCGGTCATCATATTTCTACTAATTCCTATAGCATTGGATATAATAATACCTTTAAACGAATCTCGCAATCATTTTAATGTTTCATTCCTTTTCGTTGATCAAAGCGCGTATATTAAAATCTTTCTAATCTTAAATTTCATGTTAATTCTATCATTCGGATTATTATCTATAATGAGTACAGAGTTGTTACTTAATATTTTTAGTTATTATATATGCAGACGATTTAATATCGCCAGGTAAGTTATGTTGCATATATTTTTATCCATGTTAATATTCTGAATGTTTTTTTAGTTATCGAATACGAAAGATAATTGAAGATCTCAGTATGCCCAATCTGCCTAAAATAGACTTGAAATTTATAGATATACATCGAATAGTGGACATTCATTGCCACGCTATCGAGTTGGTAAATTAATTTATTATAGTAAATAATAATAATAATAATAATAATTTTTTAAATAATATAAATTTTTCATATATCTTATATCGTTGTACTTGAAAGACATATTAATGTAGCCACAAATAATACAGCGACGCAATATCTCATGGCAATTATTGTATTCATACTCTCATTTTCTGTAAATCTCTATCGCGTAAGTAGTTTCTAATGTAATTTATTTATTTATTATATTTCAGCTAAAGAATCTATGAAATTTTAGATTTAGAATCTTCAATTATTAATAAGATTGTTGTAAATGGAATTGATCTTAAAACTTAAATAAATCCTATTCCTAATCCTACTATTATTTTCTATGAATTCTATCCATTAATGAAAGATTATTAGAATCGTGGAATCTATTCTTTTAAAATGTTTTTTAATATATCTGATATAACTTCCAATTTATGAGATTATCATTGTTTAATTTAATAACAGCAATGTTTTATAGTTTATTATTTATCTCGTTGTTTCTTATTCAGATTTCTCGCTTCTACTTGGACTCACTGACTTATCTTAAATTCCAGATAAATGATAGACGCGATTTCTAGAAAAAAAATATGTCATTAAATTGTCTCAAATGGATTATCACATTTTCATAATTTCTGCACTACGTTAAGTGGTATGGGAAATTATCATATCTCGCAAACGAATTGAGATATCGAGAAGAATTTTCTCTACTTTCTGAATGAATTTCAATAACTCTTAATAGATAAAATTTTTAATGGCTTCCATTTTTTTTACAAAAATTAATGCAACAATCTATCATTTTAATATAAAATATATAAAAACGTTATTTAGCATTTTTTGTATATCAGTTGTAAAAAAATTGCGATGTTCTTAAGTAGATAGTTCAGTGATAAGTAGATTATTTTCAGTACATCACTAAAAATATATAACTAAATATATTATTTGATGTTTCATAGCTATATAAAGCAGTAACAACTATGGACGATCAAATAGAAATCTTTGGTACTACTTTTGCAGTTACTTATTATTTAATGATCGCATTTTACAATAATCATTATGGACAATTAATTATTGACAGTAGCCTTGACATATTTAACGAACTGTAAGTTCGAATAATTCTTATATTATTACATCTTTATCCTTTAGATAACTCATATGTTATTAATTTGTTACGTTAAAAATATATATTATTGAAATATATTAAATGATATGCAGATTTGCTTCTACATGGTATCGCATTCCTTTAAAAGCTCAAAAACTATTATTGCTTATGATATTGAGAAGTTCAATGGGTTGTGAAATACGTCTTTCTGGTTTATTCACTCCGTCTTATATAGGCTTTACGTCGGTAATTTTTCTTGTACTTTCATACACTGTATCATTTTGAATTTCAACACTTTTAATTATTGTAACATTGCAGATGATGAGTTCGTCCTTCTCCTATTGTGCCGTTATATATTCAATTCAATAAATATTCTCTGGCATTTTATTTCAATATAAATATTGCAGTCATATAGTATCATTGTTATACGCGTAGATATGAATTCAATATTTGTTAAATAAACAATTTGAATAATAAAATGAGTAAAAATGATGTTATATTTCATATCAAATCTATTGATCGTTTAATTCCAGTTAATGGAATTAAAATGGAAAATATTTATTATTGCAAAAATATGTGTAGACAAATTTTTACGACACTTTTATTTTAAACTATTAACACGATAACAATTATATCTCACTGGGTTTCACTCTACACGTTTCTACCTTTCTTATTTATTTTTATTCTTTTTATTATAATTCTTTTAACATTTTAACATTTTAACATTACAGAA